AGTCGGGATTCCAAGCTCCTGAACTTCCACAGTGGACTGCTCCCCCTTCTCAGATCTTCGTGACACTGGTAACGAGTCTTCTTCTTCTTCTTCTTCTTCTTCTTCTATCACAGTTGTTCCCACTTGAAGCATAGGCCATCTGTGAAACACTTCGTTTCACCTCAGTTTCTTAATCTAAGAGCCGGTAGGACTTCTTGGACAGGGGCTCAGCCCATCGGAAGGCCTCTACCTAACACAAACACAAAATAAACACAGACATCCATGCCTTGAGTGGGATTCTAACTCACGATCCCAGTGTTCAAGCATGCGAAGACATTTCATGCGTCAGACCGCACGTCCACTGTGATTGGCGATAACCGTATTGCCATGCAGTAGACTGGTTCAGAATCATATCTTCACTGTGGTAGTTGATCCAGAATTGGGTTGACATTGTAGTTCACATCCCGTGTAAGCAGCTGTGTTTGTAGTTTAAAATAATCAGCGGCCAACTCCAGTTCGTATCTCTCTTAATATGGCCGTCGTGCGTCTTTGCCATGAAATTATGAATGAACGTTGAGCCGAGTGGTATATGTAAATTTGGAGAGAACGCATTTAGAAAACTTGTGTACTCAAAATTAGAGAGTGCATAAGCATGTCACTAAATTGTTGGTTTGTTGTAATATTTTGGCCAAATTAAGTCAGTTTTGCACAAATTGTATTTTTATTGAACAGTATTTTCCCCAGTTTATTTCAGATTTTCTATTCACAACTTGTTGAACACACAAAACAAATGTATAATCGTAAATAATAGAATAAATCTTCGTGAACCAATTAAAACTATATTATATTGTGTGTCCTTTCTTTTGCATGACGGTCTTCATTAGGTCGTGATGTTCTAGCATTCGGAATTATCTCGGTGTATGCGACTCATGGTTTGTAGTAGCAGGTTAGAATTGTTTAAAATACAGATGTATCCACTCATAGTTTTAGTAAGTATGTCCTTATGGTTTAATATCGATACGTACTTTCAGAAAATGTGCCTGCAGCTGACATAATATTTTGCAAATTTTTAAGTGTTGACATGTTTCTGTACTTGAGTAGGCACATTTCGTACAACATGTGAAAAGAAGGAAACATTCCAAATACCCATCTTCTAGTAGTGTAACTGCCTTTCATTTGCTGATAGTTACGTTTTAAGAATCTTGTAATAAAATCGACATTTCCTCTGGGGTCAAGCTACCAGAACATGCCGACTTAATACCTCCATCTAGTGCCATGGATAAAAATTCATGGAGCTTATATCTTTCATGCTGTAGTGCTGAAATACAAGGGCAGCTTTATCTGGAACTAAAGTTGTCATCTCCTTGGGGACGTAGTGGAACACTGAAGCTATGCAGGACTAATACTGGTCCCAAACACAGATAATTGCTTCAAAGGAAATGCTGTGTAGCATTTAACTTAGATTTTTCTGTGTTCATTCCTATGGTCTCAGTGTTTGGGCTGTAGCCATTGACACTGAGGATTTGGGCTCCCTGCCAGAGTTAAATTTTGTCAATCTCTTGCTTGATACACTCAGCCTGAACCTTAACAGCCACGCACTTAAGTGTCAAACAGGTACTTTGCTTGAGTTATGGCTTTCCACTTTTAACTCCCCAACCTTTATGTGTGGAGGTGGAGTTTTGTGGATATCTCAAAAAGCATAATGTTCTTATGTCAAATGCTTCTTCCATTCTTCTGAAGGCACTTCAAAATCAAAATTAAAGAAAAAAAAACAGTATGATGTGTTTAAGAGCAGTTTGTGAATGGTATGTTAAAAAATGTTTCTTTTGTCCCACTATAAAGTTCGTATGGCTGCAAAAGTTTAAAAAAATATTGTATTATCCCATTAACACGTTTTATGAGGCCGCACCATAGCTCAAGAGGTTAGCCGCTGGCTTCCCACCTCGATGGCCCGGGTTTGATCCCGGGTCTGGTCATGTGGGATTTGTGGTGGACAAAGTGGCGCTGTGGCAGGTTTTCTCTGAGTACTTCGGTTTCTGCTGCCAATCTTCATTCCACCAATTGCTCCACAATCACCCTCACCTATCATCTGGGGCTGGTACAGTAGGCCAGAAGTGGCCGCAGTACAAGGGACTTAGTCCCACCCCACTAGCAATAAAAGAAAATATGATTTATGGAGATCAGTGAAGAATTCTAAACTTTAATGGCTAAAACACAGTTTGAACACATCATTGGAACTGGTTTTGAAAGTGTACAATATATTGAATCAACTCGCATCTCCCTCTTTCACATACCAAAGTTATAGGTCTATTAGCAGATGGATAGGACTGGACTGATGTGTGTGCCTCAGCACAGAAATGTGCCCAAAAACCCCAAACATGTCAGAGAAGACACTGGAATATGTACACCATGTGTCTGTGTTCAGTTGAAAGACAGGGGGTTTCTTGAAAATTAATTCGCTTACTCTGCAACCAAGCAAACGCCTTGTCAGCGACACTTAAAGACCAAGGATGTGATAGTGGTGTTATTGCATGCCTCAGGGGATTGTGATAGACAGGTATGGAACAATTACAGAGTGACTAGTATTAGGGGAAAGCTGAAGAAACTTCAAGAGAAGCCTGCACCAGGACCACTGAACCCATGTCTCTGCATTAAGAAGCCAGCACCAAATATGGTTTGGGCTATGGCATGACTGTAGTGTTTCATATTTATACAAATTTATATTATAGTTCTTTCAGTGTGCCAGTTTTCGTCTCATACCATTTCCATTGCATTGCTGACGTTACTGGGCATTATTATATTTAAGCATCCTGTTACACTCACACAATATATATGAGACAAACCCCGTCTTAAGTGCAAGAATTTAATTGTAGTTCTTTCTTCTTTCCTTCCTCTACACTACATGTTTCGGCCCTAAATGGCCATCATCGGGTGTATATTCTTATGTAGCTGCTACACTGCCCGTAGTTTAAAATTTAAAAACACCAGTCTTTCTAATTGTATGTATATATAAAATCTTTGTTAACCTACACGTGTCAATTTGATTTCCAAAATTGGCACTTTTTAAAACTTCAATTAAAATTAAAATGTCTTTAAATTTTCTGTTCTTTTTCTTTTTCCAAATTTTAAAAATTAAAATTCTTCGGGGTACTCGCCCTATGTCTATAGTGCTGCAGCACCCACTTCTTGTTTTATCATTGTTCAGGTATTGTTCTGTGTAGGCTCTCTGTGCGTGTGCCGCTGCCTATCTTTAATACATGTCAAAAGGAAAAGAACGGAAAATTTAAAGACATTTTAATTTGAATTGAAGTTTTAAAAAGTGCCAATTTTGGAAATCAAATTGACGTGCATAGGTTAACAAAGATTTTATACATACATACAATTGGAAAGACTGGTGTTTTAAATTTAAACTACGGGCAGTGTAGCAGCTACGTAAGAATATACACCTGCTGATGGCCATTTAGGGCTGAAACATGTAGTGTGGAGGAAGGGAAGAAGAAAGAACTACAATTAAATTGTTGCACTTAAGACGGAGTTTGTCTCATATATATTACTGGGCATATTCTTCAAGAAAAAATGCATAAAGCTTTCTTGACACAACTCTTAATATGATTTAATTCTGTGTATACATTATGCCCTCATTGTGTACACTGCATGTGGTGTAACAGTTTGAATTTAAATATTTTGTGCATATGTTTTTCCACATTCTTTGAAAGTGTGCTCATTCTTGTAAGGAAACTTTAGGAAATTGAAACAAACATTTTTTGTCAAACGTCTATATGTCCACAGTCCATCAATGATGCAACAGTTGTTTATTCACCATTTAACACTTAACATGTTTCGGCCATAGATGGCCATCTTAAGGTGTCTTAATGTGTCAGAACTGTTACACTGCTCTGATGTGTGCTAAAACCGCGTGTTTCAGTCCACTTAAAAATAAAGTAAATATTTAAAATCCATTAAAATTTATTTTTTTTTTTTTCGTTGCTATTTACCGTCTTGTAGCTGTGAGATTGTGGTTAGTAGTTTAACAGTCAGTAAAGAGACATTTAGATGTGCCATACGGGAGGCAGTTAGACAAGGGCGCTTCACCACCTAGCATCCCGTTCAATCCCAGGTGACTGCCTTCATGTGAGATTCATTGTGAAGGAAGTAGGAGATTTTTTCTTTGACTTTCTCTGGTTTTCCCTTGCTAATCATCGTTGCACCATTGCTCCCTACTTATAACACCCCTTGAGGTGTGTGATTGCCCTGTGCAGGTAACAGGCGCACTATCACATTATCATACATTTACATGTCAAAAATCCTTTACAAGGTCATAAGACTCAGGATATAGACAATAGTCCAATATAACAATTAAATATAATAATTACAAAAAATATAATACATGTTAAAATATTTATGTAAACATAATTTTAAAATTATAAAACTTGTAATTTAACTTTTCATTAATTAAGTATTTAATCCCAATAAAATCAATTATCAATCTTCTGAACCCTGTAATCAAAAAATTCATCAATACCATAAAATGAATGTAAATGGAGAAATTGTAATAGTGCTTTCTTGAATCGATTTTTGTTTTTGGATAACTGTTTTATTTTGCGTGGAAGACTATTATAAATTTTGATTCCAAAATACTGTGGACCTTTCTGAAATGCTGTTAGATTTGACAAGGGGAGATGCAAATTTGAACTATTTCTTGTTACAGTTGTATATATATCTGAATTATCTGCAAATAAATCCATATTATTAACTACAAACATCATCAAAGAATATATATATTGAGAGGGCACTGGTCTTTGAGTTTGGGGCTTCATTTATGCTGTCACTTGACTGGTTACAGAGTAAGGAGGTAATTTTTAACAGGTGTTTATGTCCCAGCTGATGCATCTGTCTGTAAAGATTAAGGAGAGTAATGAAGTGTAGCTGTTCTTTATTTGATAAGGTGGATGTATCCACATACACACATATGTGTATATTGTATTGTTAATCAGTGAAGGGTTGTTTTGTACCTGTTTCAGCGCCTGTCATTTCCATCTTCTGAATCCAGCAATGGGCAAGCTGGTTTCAACTTCAGCCTCTCCAGCACTGCAGATACAGAAGGGCCTCAGGGAAGTTTTGAATGCATCCAGCAAACAGTCTCAAAGTATGTATTACATCTCAGATGATGACATTTACCTGTAGACATGAAGCTTGTTGTTTAGAACAATATTTCAAAACAGAAACAGTGGGGGTACATTGCAGCATAGTTGGTTTAGGCACGGTGCTACAAGGCAGAAGGTCACAGGTTCAATTCCCAGTGAAGTTATTGGATCTTTCAGTTGACATAATCCTTCCAGGTGCACTGTGGCCCTGTGGTTGACTCAGCCTAACAGAAATAAGTACCAGGAATCTTCCTGGGGGTGAACTGCAGCCGGCATTTAAAGCAGTTTAGGAAATCAGTTCTTTATTCTGAAAATCATATAATACAAATGTACTCTTTTGGCAGAACACAGAGCTTTTTTTGTGTTAAATGTAGTAGTGTGCTTTAAAGGGTTAAGGCATACTGTGTACTGTTCAGACAAGTTACTTCAGAATTTTGTATCCTCCAGCCAATTTATTACACATGCTAGAATTCATATGTCTCATTTTATTAGGAAGGTGACCACCAGGTGCAGAAGTAAGATACCTCTTAAGAGAAGGTGTACATGGGGGTGTAGGAACTGGAACAGATATGATAGGAATTTTCAGGAAAGTAAGCTACAAGCAATGCAATACTGGGCCATATAGTGTATGTTAGTAGGAGGAACCATTTTCTTAAAAACAAAATAAAATTAATTCCATTTGACTTGATTAATTATGTAATTACTCTATGTTTAGTAAAATGTTTACTGCTGATGTGATTTCATAACAGAAGCATACAATTGTTTTACAGGTCCCTTGAGTCCCTGGGAGCACTACAGTGCAAGATGCGGATCCAGGCTAATGATGACGTATATGAAACTACGCTACACAGATTGGCTGCAGCAGAGGAGAACCACAAGAAAAGCTGGTACATAACATTTCTTTTTTTTGTGTGGAATCACATTTATGATGCCAGCAGTTGACCACAAGCTGTGCAACAGAATTGGCATGTTCTTGCAAACGAAAACTGTGGTGCAGTTCAGTGCTCTGGATAACAGGATCACCAGGCTGTAGTTAGGTTCCTTGTTGCCACGGGTTGGCAATCAGCTACCAGTGCTGCAAAATGCTTGTGCTTGAACAACCCTTATATACCAGGGATTTTACTCTTTTACCAATCCATTTAATTAACACTGTATGTTTTGTAGTATGTATCGTAACACTGCAGTCGGTGTAGAATGCAATTGATTGTACAGACACACATGCACAATTAGTTTAGTTGAGCTTTCTATCTTTTTATTATGAATATAATGTTGTATTTTAAAACACAGTTCTTAAGTAAGGTCAGCAGAAACATGCAATAACACACCATATGTGTATACATTTTCTACCTTACAGCATATAGCACAGACAAGGTGGTAGCTGCATTGTGTTGCTAATGAGACTGGTTATTAGCTAGAGAGTTTTGGTACTACTCCCAGCAAGGGAAAGAAAAATTCTTTACCTTGCTGTATGCACATGAGTCTGAGGCCTACTCAGCCTTATGTTGTATAGACATAAGGGATAAAACAGCTGGACGGTGAAGCTGTCTGCCCTGTCTACCATGCAGTGCTGTGATCAAGCTTTATCCACTCATCACTTATTCACCTTCATGGTACTGAGTCAGGCACATGGGTAAATTTATTTTTACATTATGTAAGTAGGCCATGGAGCATGCAAAAATGTATGACTCTTTTTATAGTAGTCATAAGAGCAAACAGCTGTACAGATTTCAATTAATTTTTTTATGTGAGTCTGTGTACAGAAGGATCTATTCATTTCAGTTGGTTCATTACACAGAAAAATATTCTCCACTTCGGGTGTTCAAATTGCATTTTGTTTCCAATTCAGTTTTTTTAATCAGTGAAACCCCNTTAATCAGTGAAAAAAATCCCCTGCCCCCCTTGAATTACAGTTTCAGCTGATGCTTTATTGTGCTCAGTGGCTGAGTGGATGTTACCTTTTGATATAGCAAGGCCCACATTTTAAATTCCTTGTTGTGGTAACTCTAGGGACAGAAAGTGTTCTCTTTGGGTTTTGTACAGTAATCGTTTAAATGCATTCCAAATATGGTTGTCTCTTGGGTTGAAATCTGTGGAAATTGGTGGTCAGTGTTATGTGGATTTGACAAGTTCATATGTAGTGGCATTCTACACTCTCAAAAGGGGTGTATTATAAATGTGAAAATGCCAATTTTTAACATTTAGAATGGAAAATATTTGATATGTAACAAATGAATTGAAGTGAATAAATCGTTATACACATAGGTACATCCTGCACAACTTATATGAGTTTAATTCTGATATATAGATCTGTTCACTTATTTTGAAAAAATAAAAGTAGGCTTATGAGATTACCATGCTGTCTCTATGACTGTCTCTCCATGTATCCCCCCCCCCATCAGCCTTTCAATATATGAATGAATCTTTATGAAACTATGCATATCATGGTACCTCAGCCCACCTCAGCACTATACTTTATAAATCCCTCCCATCATTCTTTCTATCTGTATGATTATCCCCCTGTTGTTGCTAGGCAATGGCTTGCTGAGCACAATACTGTGGCAATGAATACACACAACAATAGAAGAATTGTTGGATGTGTCATTTTCTATGCAGTCCAAGTCATATCAAAGAAAAGTATGTGATTGGTTTTTTTCCAGAACCTCTTGTTTAAGAAACTTTTTTGCGCCACTAATTATAGTGTGAGATCTCTTAACAGGACTCTAAAAATTTATCTTGAAAGTGCCTAACCAATTCCCAAATTCCAGGCACAATAGGGATATATGTTGTGCTGAATTCTGTACTGTAGCGGATTGCATTTTAACCATGTTCATGGTAGACCTTAGCATAATGACAGAATTTCCAAAAGCACCATTACTTCAAATTTTTCTGTGTTTCAGGTGACCCAGCCAGTGTGAAGACTCATATTGTGTTATAAGTAATGCTAAAATTGTTTCTGTCATGGCTGATTTTGTGTGAAATGTGTGTTTTATTTTTACAGCACGAGAGAAATCAAACCGGGTGGACCAGGTATCGGAGTTAAAGTGAAAGTAAAGAATCCAGTGCTTCCCCTCAGAAGAGATCGCAACCCCACAAATTCCCTTGCCCCTTCAGCAACACAGCTGAAGCATAATTTGCCACCAAAACCATCAAGCAATGGTTATGTATCATCATCTCATCATGGTATTGTTAACGGGAACTTCATGCCAAGCTTGGCACACACAAAGCCTCAGGGTAACAACCACGCCCAAAAACCAGGGAATCCGGATATCATGAGGCGGCCACTCAGGTATAATGAACTAAGCAACTCCTTGGAGCTTGGTCCTTCATGAGAAGCCACAGTTACTTGACCAAGAATTTCCCAACGTTCCGTGGAACCTAAAAGTTCATTACCATGTTCCCAAGAGCCAGCCAGTGTTCCCTGTCCAAAGCCAGATTAATCCAGTCCATGCCACCCCATCCTGTTTTTCTAAGATTAATTTTAATATTATTCTCCCACCTACATCTAGGTCTTCGTAGTGGTCTCATTCTTTCTGTGTTTGCCACTAAAACCCTATATGAATTCTCCTCTCAATTGTATTCGGCACACAGTACAAGTTATGAAGCTCCTCATTATGCCATTCTCTCCAACCTCCTGTCACTTCATCCCTCTTCGGTCCCTGTACTCTTCTCAGTACTCTGTTCTCAAACACCCTCAGCCTGTATTCTTCCCTTAATGTCAGAGACCGGTTTCACAACCATACAGAATTATGGTTTTGTATGTTTTAATTTTTATGTGTTTAGATGACAGACAAGAAGACAAAAAGTTCTTTCCACATGAATCAAATTTTCATTTGTTACTGTCATTCACATATATTTCACTTCATATTTTCAAAGGATCTATTAGCTATGTCTTTATTGTAATTATTCTCTTGACAAGACGTCAACATATAATCAGTTTTCTCCTTGTTTACCTTAAGAGCAACCTCCTTACTAGTGTTAATTAGAGCTTCTCTAAGTATATCATTTGACATTTTATGGTTGGATTTGAGATCCTCATAGCTCCGACTGTGAAGAGTTGTACCTTTTGGGCTAGAATGCAGTGCAGTCTGGTGAAAGCCAGATGATGTTTTGGAGGAACATACACCTTAGAGTTCTGCTTACTGCCTGCTTCTTGCTGGTTTCTTTCTTGGCTTACTCATTGACCCTGAGGATGGAGGTGGTATGTTCCTCCCAAACATTGCTTGACTTTCACTGGACTACATGGGGTTAAATCCCAGATGGTTTTCTGAAATGTTGGTTGTTTTTTTAAATAGCCCTTAACCCGAAGACCATTTGTGCCTTTTTTATTTTAAGGGATATATACTTCTGGTACACTCAACCCACCCTCAGTTTTCACTAACACTTTTAGACAAAGAGTGCTGTGGAAGCTCGAAATCTTTTAAATTTAAGTATACCACATAAACATTATTTTAGATCTGTAATTAGTGTTACTGAAATGGTGATAAGAATCACAGCTTCTCATATTGGGGTCTTTTCCCAGTTCTGTTCCATTTTGGCACTGATTGATTTCTTTGGGGACAGTCAATCTAAACCTTAGGGCAGCCTTAACTGCAATAAATGTAGCACTAGAAGTACAGACTTCAAATCTGTAAAACAAAACTTTTGAGTCATGAGATTTGAGGGTTTCTTGCCAGTGACTATGAGGATTACTGTCATATGGGATGTGATACAGCGTAATCTGGTAGTTAATTACCAGTGCTTAACAGGAACCTGGTTCCTCCATCTTACATTATGAAGACAAAGGAAGTAGGTTTCTTTGAAACATTGATAATTGCTTGTTAAGGTATGTGGGGTCACATCCCAGAAGATGGTAATCTTCATTAAATTGATATTTTGCTGCCAATCAGTTGTTGCTGTCTGGCACTCATTATGCTACTGAATTGTTCATGTCTCACAGATATATATGTTTTGTGTATTGTATGGTACATTGTTCTTGTTTGCAGGGAGAGATTAATCCATCTCTTGGCTGTGAGGCCATACAAAAAGCCAGAATTGTATGACAGGATTAACAAAGGTACAGTTTAATCATTTTTTTAGTTTATTTTTTTTGATATTTGGAAGAGTTTCTGTTTTACCAAATTTATCGCTTTTTATTTGAGTCTTATTCACATTTGTTCTTTGTAACCCAACTTTTTCTTAGACCCTGTAGTATTTAATATTCTTTTTCAAAATGTACTGTTAGTGCATCCTGTTCTTTTGATTTCATTCAATTTGGCATAATTAATTATTTTTGTCATGGAAAAATGACTCCAGTGGTCTACTAGTAACCCAGATATCATATTTTACATCTTCTGAATAATTATCATGTGCATGAGTGACTATAAACAGTCTACATGCTACACAGAGTATACAAGGGTTATTCAGTTGAAATTAATTTCTGAGTTGTTCTGGGCAGAATAGAAGAGGCCATCAAAAATAGTTGCTATGGGTACTGAAGCAGACATCCCATAGATGCAGTAGCCATTCTGTTCCCTCCAGAAGGAACACCTCGATGTCTTTGTCTAGCCCAAATCTATGGCCCCGTAGTGCTTGCTGGAAGGGGCTGGACACCTGAAAAGGATTTCCCGTGAATAACCCTGATACTAACTGTTGTATGGTCATATTTTGGAAGAACCCTATTTTTCAAACACCATGTGTCATTGCCTGCATGGACTAGATCTTATTTGCCATAGCATTTGTGATCTCTTATATCTAACATAATGATATAAGTAAGATTTAATACATTTTGTGTTATGTATAATGTGGATTCTGTTTCTCAGTGACTGCACTTTGTGGAAGTTGGTTGTGCTGCCAGAACATCAGTAATGTCACCTATTTCTACATGATGGCTTCACCCAGAAACAGAATTCGCATTGTCATGTTATTATGTTAGGCTAAGGCAGTAGGAGGGTTGTCATATTTAGAAAGTTGTGTTTTGTTTCAGATGGTTTGCGGGACAGGGATAAGAACAGTGTGACAAAAATCTTAATGCAGGTGGCAGTCTTGCGGGACAACACATACCAACTCATCCGTAATGTATGGAATGATGTACAGGAGGACTGGCCATTCTATACAGAACAGGAGAGGCAGTTACTGAAGCGGTCTGTATCAGACTTGTACAGTAGGGTAATGCAATATGTAGAGCCAGTTTGTTGATTTGTGTAGTTAACTGAATTTGAGTTGCAAGGTCAGTAGATAGGCTCTGTTGGTAAACAGAAATAATATCAAAACAGGTAATATTTCTCTTGCATCACTGTGTGTGTTGCTTCAGTGTTGTAAACAAGCATAGCTAAGAAAGTGATGACCCACAGTTTATATACTTATCTAAAGTCTGACGAATCATCTTGATTTGTAGAAGTAACAGAAAAAGAAATTCATGACTGTTTCAGTGACACCTGATTATCTTGATACATTTATTAAGTAGATCTCTTATATAGAGTGGAACAAAATTTACCCACAAGCTCTTCCTTGTTTTAAAAAACAAATCAGAAATATTGTACAACATATTGTAACGTGGCTGGCACAACAGGAATTAGGGGTCACGTAAACTCTGCATTTCTGCGAGTGATGTCACATACCCCCACTCCTTCCATCATTACGCAGTGCTCGGTAAACACCGAAGAAAAGGACTGGCCGTTGCCACAAGAGGGACAAGCTGTCACATGAAAGTGACATGGCAGACTAAGAAAAACAACAAGAAGGACTGCGGAAGAAACTGGCCGCTTAGAGAATCAGGATGACCCTCCATGCAGAAGTGGCACGGCATAGGAAACACAGGGACGATGCCACAAAAATATCCCAGGAAAAACAAGCACTCCAGAAGCAACGTCGAGCACACACAGAAGACAACAGAAGAATAAGGAGCCGAAACGTCAAGGAACCCATTCCTAGAAGCATGAAGACATTACACGAGGCCCTTGGACAAGCTCTCGAGTCAGAGGGCATGAAGGGAACCATCTGGATTTCCAGTAGATTAAGAGAGATGAGACACTGGACACTGTGGAGGGGTCGACCCCTTCCGAAACGGAAGAAATGGAATAGCACATGGTGGACTGGTAACACAGAAGCACCAGCCTCCCTAGCTAGAACAAGTGAATGAGCGACAAATGAATGTGAGACGACGGAATCAACGACCGCTGTACCATGGAGCTGATCGAGATGAGCCCTTTGAAGAAAGGGGCTGGAGGTAGCTCCCCGAAGACGAACACCAAAGGAAAAGGAATGGGGATGTACCATTGGGCCGTTCGGGATGAGCAACCCTTAGAAGGGCATAGTGTAACATGGATGGTGCAACAGGAAGTAGGGGTCACATGAACTCTGCATTTCCGCAAATGACTTCACATACCCCTACTCCTTCCATCATTACACAACGCTCGGTAAACGCCCCTCCCTGTTAGGCTGTGACGTCACGCAACAGGCGAGAACATGCAGCGACTATTGCTAGGCATTTGATACGATTGTGAGTATGCAGCAGGGAAGCGAGGTGCGTTTTCCGCTGTCCAGCTGAGGGTTTATAAGAGAAACCAGAATGCCTAAGGAGAAAAGTGAAATTCTATCAGTCGCAGAGAGGGTGGAAGGCTAGCAGTCGCCAAGTGCAATTGCGCATTAGGAGTCGGTTTCCAGCCTTTCGAAGAGATGAGGTGAAGTCCAGCAGCCACAAGTTGTTGTTGAGTTGTACTGAGTGAATAGCAGTGACTACAGCAGGAGAAGTAATTGTGATATTGCAGCTGGCAGTAATTTTGAAATTGTTAACTGTGTAAGTCTAAGAGCAAGTATGCAATAAAGTCACTAAGATCGAAAATGACTTGAAGTTATTTGTCACGTTACAATCCCCCAACAAGTGACAATATGTTCTGTGACATTTTGTTTTCAAGATACATGTCACCATTAAATGACCCAAGCTGTCAAATGATCAAGCCGTGGGTGGCTTGTAGATACAAGAGGTGTTCAAAGAGGCCTCCCACATATTCATGGCAGACAGCAGTTTCAGCATGTTGGCATTGACTGTTGTCACAGCTGCTTGAAGTCTTGGCATGAGATATTCAGTTGTCCTGGAAGGGACTGCATAAATGTGTTCCTTCAGGTGTCCCCACAAGAAAAAATCCATCAGAGTCTGATGTGGCAGCTGAGGAGACCATGCAGTTAGCCCCCCGATGTCCAGTTCACCTTCTTGAATGTGTTGATTTCAGCTGCTACCAAACATCATCTGTGTAGCGCTTAGGAGCTCCTTCATGCTGTAACAACAACCTCCACCTCACAGCTAGAGGCCCTTCTTCAAGCAGCTCTGGTAAAACAATTACCAGAAAAGCATGATATCATTGAGCATTCAGCCTGTCAGGCAGAAGAGGGCCGACAACAACGTCCCCAGTGATTCCAGTACTGACCCCTACTGTGCTACTCCTAGCATTGTGCTATGTATTGTTGTGTATATAACTGCTGAGAAGTATGTTACTCCATTTGATATGATGCATATGTAAAATCTGAGTGCCTCAAGGACAGGTGTTGTATAACATTTGTGGCTTGATTATTAACAAGGAGTCACACTTTGGAGTGCTTGTGCATGAATTTCATTTCACCGTATATTATTTTGAAAGTGGGATCAGATCAAGTCCCTTGATACTTTTTCTCCAAGTAGGCCCATTATACCGGCACTGGTTAATAGATGAGAGAAAGGGAGCACTTGATGAAATGATAATTGGCAGGGGAAACCAAAATACTGGAGTAAAACCACTACAAATCCCACATGAACTGGCTTGGTATTGAACCTGGACCACAACACATAGTTGATGAATTGTCCATGCATAAAAGTTCAGATAAATTACATTATAAATTTTTATTTTGTAAATCAAATTTTGTGTATTACACTGTATTACACAAAATTAAACTGCAATAACTGCATAGCACTTCATCTTACAGAGTAGATTAATGAAATTCCAGCATTCAGTAACCAAAAATGTTCAGCACTTCGCAACAAATACCATTTTTGTTCAGATCTTTACTCATTGTCTAAGACCACATATACCCCATGACTACTTAAAAAAAAATTTTAAATTCTCTTAGTGGAGGATGGAGTCCAACTGGGTGCACTTGGCACGACGGCCACTGATTGGCCTATTGTAGCCTGCCCCGGGTGATTATGATGATGGAGAATTTGGTGGAATGAAGATTGGCAGGGGAAACCGAAGTACTCCAAGAAAACCTGCCTCAGTGTCAATTTGTCCACCATAAATCCCACTTGACGAGACCCAGGATGGAACCCGGGCCACCATGGTGGGAAGCCAGTGACTAACAGCTTGAGCTATGGTGCTGCCCACCCCATGACTACATTGTTGTATGATTTTTATGTAATACGTATATTGAACTTAGGAATATTGGCTTTCTGGAGTCGTCTCACAATTACTGTCTTCACCATTCCGTACTTCATCTTCACAGAAGGATCTGGTCATATGGAAATACCGCTTTTGCTTCAACAGCACTTTAGGCAAACTCGCGGATGCCAACTTTGAATTGTATTTCTGTATATCTGCCTCTGTCACCCCCTCTCCACCACCTTGTATGACACAAATGTTAGAATATGTTGTATCTTATCAGCCTGTTAAAAGCTTCAAACATTTAAAGACATTGATGTAGTATATAATATTTCATATTCCATTCTGGTAAAAATTGTAAAAAGGTACTAGATTTGAAAATGGCAAGGCATTGCTGTTTTGCACTTTATGCATGCCTAAAAATATCTCACATTCTCTCTTCCAGGTTATGGAAATCCTTGATTCAGGATACTTCTTAGCTACACCACTGCAGTACACATTAGATTCTTTTGTTTCTGCCCCTACAGCCATGTTATTGTCTTATCATATTCCCCATTTCTAATTGAACATGTTAAAGTTATTGACTATCCTTTTCTTTGTTCATTAGCTGAGTACTGTTTTGCCAAAAGATGCTGCAAACTAGTTTTGTTTTTCTTTGCAGGCGTAAACCACAGAACCTGACTCCACCAGGAAGCAGTGATGGAGGGAGTTCAGGCAGTGGACAGTCTCCCACTAGTACTCACCCAGGCAGTCCTCCTTCAGCTATCTCCTCCTCATACAACATGAAGAGGCCAGGATATATTGATGGAGCAGATGGTCTGCCAACTAAACGCAAGCGCATCTCTCATTACTGCAGCAAACCAACAGAACAGGCACCTGTCATGGCCAGGTTACCAGACTCAAGCCAACAGCCACGCAGCACACCTGCAGACTCATCATCATCATCATCATCATCACGACCTGATGATTTCTTTCGGCATAAGGACAGGGACAAAAGTAGGGATGTCATGAATACGAACCCTCGTAGTAGAGAATATGGTGGCAATAGAAGTAGTAATGGTGGGGGTGAGAGTTTGCTCAGGAATAACGGATACAGCAGTCAGTCAGTAATGTCATCGATTGTGGACGGGAAGTGGAGAAATGGGCCCGAAAATGAGGAAAATGATGAAAAACGAAGTGGCAGTAGTGCTCAAGGAGGCTATGATAGCAGTGTAGTGGCCAGCAAGGCTCAGTGTGAATCAGTGGCATCTAATCCATCTAGTGTTAGTGGTGTTAGTGGCAGCACTAGAGTGACATCTGCATCAGTGGATGATTCCTCTACGTGTTGGAACAGATCAACAGAGAATGGAGTGCTCAGTCAATCAACGAGCAGCCGAGGTCATGGAGGTCATCATGACAATCGCAACAATAGATGGACAACTCGGGTTTCGTCAACAACTCAGAACAGTTCTGCCGGTGGTTCCAGTCCTGAGAGTCAGCTGGAGAACATGGACACAGGAAGAGAGAAAGAGGCTAAGGAGAAAACTTCTACAAGTAACAGTTCAGAATACCCAGAATATATTTTGTGAGTATAAAACATAATTTTTGGCTGGTGTATGAAAATTTAAAATTAATTTAATTCATGCATAATACCTGTTGCCACTATTGTTCATTGGTACTTCATCTCCCTTAAAGTACTGTATTTACCTGGATCTAAATCACACTCTGGAAAAATGTGTATACTTTTACATCACATCTATGAGCCCATTGTCTAGAAAATGTGGGAACCTCAACATCTCACAACCCTATATCCCTCCACGGCATGTTACAGTGATACCTGTACTTTTTACATCAACACAAGTAATAGTCAGAACAACTCAGAATAAGCAAGTTTTGAGTTGCTTTGTGAAGTTACATTTATTGCTGAAAATACTAATTAAATTATTGGGTTTGATGAGTAGCTCTAATAACACCAGACAATTAGAACTCCGTTAGCTGGTAACATTAGTTTGAACTGAGTTTGCATAAGTGTATGTACCTTTACTGGATGTAGGTCACTATTTCTTTAAAAACTTATAAGCCTCATTCTGATTTTAAAAGTGTTAATTTGGGAGGATAATTGTGGCTTATGTTCAAGCAAATTGGTGCCTGCCAGGTCAGGGGATGGGAAAGATGGCATAACATTCTGGTATAGCATTGCACAATTTAAGAAGTGTACAGCTTCACATTTTCATGGTGAAGGAATCACATCCCTTTACTTAGTTTGGGGCTTTTTTTCATGGATAATTCACCAAAATTTGAACATAAGGCTTTAGCATATATTTCTCCAGTTTCTGTAATGCTTCATGGGCTGCAACATAGAAGGTAGGTGCCTTCATAATAGGAAAGAGTGTAAATTGTTCCCTGGCAGATGTTACTGAAATTAACTTTATGTGTCATTGTTTGCCAGGGATGGCGTTTAACAGCTATACAGAACGCTTAGCAGAATCACTGATACTGTGTATATGTGTGTGCAGTGACAAATGGCAGAATTTAACTTAATGTGACATGCCAGTTTTTGGACTATAATGATGTTAATTTATTGAGTTAAAAAGATAAACGCCACAAAGTGAAACACAAAAACTCCATCATCTAATAGTAGGGAGGATGGTATAGCAGTAAACACAGAAAACTAAGTACATTAAAGTCCCAGAACTCTCAACCAACTGGCTAGAATTCCCAAGAAAATCATCGTTTATATAAACTATTCAGAAACAAGTTTGCAGTGCACATAAGTTCACCTACCACTCAATAGTTATCCCAGCTGCCACTGGTAGCACCATCTAGTACCATCCTCAGGCAGGCACCATTACAATAGAGGCTAGTTAAATTTGTGATCATGTTACAGTGTATTTATCCAATATCTTTTACCCGTAAGATAACTACATTACCGAGGAAGATGCCCGCCAAAGAACTAAAGCAGAAATACGTTGCTTTGACTTTGAACTGAGTTTCTGTAAGAAGTTCTCATTTAACCAGCAGATCCCATTTCCCATACATGTCAGGGAGTTTACTGTTTATTGTATGTTCCTGTCTCATCATCACAAAGCAAGACAATGTGATGATATTGGAATAGCAATTAAGTCCTATGAAAATGTTGTAAGGTTGAAATCAGGGATTGAAAATTTGTGCATATCTGATAGCCAGACACATATTTTGGTCATCAGGAAGAGGCAGAGCAGCATTTTATGAGTACCTTGGTGTGACTTCTGCTTTTGAATGGTACCAAGATTCATTTCTTCCTGTCACACACTAGCCAGGCATGAAATGATGGTAGAAATCATTGAACTGAAAGGAAATATTAATTGTTATGACTTACTGATCATGTTGATCATAACCTTCTTTGGATGTAGTTCACCATTTCCTTTCTAACACAGGTTATCGAATGAGAATTCCAGAACTCCATACATGGCCTAATGGCCAAGTAGAAAATCAGCTGCCTTCCAAAATGTTTCAGTCTCCACTGGCAGTCAGGCCACTAACAGTTTTTCTCACTCCTTGATTCTCATAGTTGAGAATGATAGTAAGGTAAAGTAAAGGGTAAATTTATCTCTGTGCTCAATAAGTTAAGCACCATGCTATGATGATTTGTGGGGGCATGGTGGTATAGCTCCACTGTTGTTGAACTCAGTACTTGGTGGAGATGAACGGTCATCTTCATGCCCTTTCTGCTTTGCCCTTGTGGAAAGATGTCCCAGTACCCATTGGTTAGGAGGGTGGGTGGGCCCAAGAGCTGGTCTGGATGCTGTGGAGTAGAGAGAAATCTCTTACCCCTACTGGGATTGAACCCCAGCCATCCATCCTGTGGCCTATTGCTATACCAACTGAGCCATCCCAGCTCCTATGATAATAATAGTGATAATTAAGAATTACATTCCTGAAATAAATTGAGAAATGATTAAATTTGAGGATTGTGACAACCAGAAAAGGCCCCTGAAAATGGCCAAGTAGAGGCTGAAACATGTTGGTTAAAGCAAATTCTCACATATCTAAACTCTGTGTTGTATCTGCCGTTATTATAATAATACAGAGTGTTTAAAAGTACATGGCATAACTTCAGGAATGAGTTCCTCATATGTAAGTAAGAAGAGTAAAGTAAAGGTATCCCTGTAACAGGCCATGGAGGCCCATAGGATTGTGAGATGGTGAGGCTCACACATTTTCCAGACAATCAGCTCACAGATGGTGGTGAGGTTGTCAGCCTTATGCACTGGCTGCACTTCATCCCTCAGGAAGATTTCTGGTACTCATTTCTGTTAGAGACTCAGTTGACCCCAGGGCCATAATGCAGCTGGAAGGATTAGGTCAGTTGAAAAATCCAATGACCTCATCTGGGCTTGAACGTGCGACCTTTCGGCTTGTAGCATAGTACCTCAACCAACTATGCTACCATGTACCCCCTGTGTTCCTCATCTGTAGATAATAAAAACAGTTTCATCATCATCATCAGTAATCTGTCAAGACGACAGGTCCACAGTCTCTTTCAAAACAATTCCTCCACTTAATGCGATCTAGAGCTTTCTCCTTCAAATGACAGTATCCTCTTCTGTCCCCAAGGTCATCCAGCATCTTCTTACGTCTTCTTCCTCGTCTTCTTGTCACTTCTATCCGCCCATCTATCTTTCCTTCGATAGCTTCTTTTAGAAGGCAGTTTCTGCGTAAAACATGACCAATCCAATTAGCCTTCCGTTTTCTTATTTCATGTAGGATATTCCTCTGCTCACTGACTCTAATTAACACTTCTTCATTTCTCACATAATCGGTCCAACTGATCTTCTCCATTCTTCTCCAACACCACATTTCGAAACTTTCCAGATGTTTCTGATCTACTGCCCTAAGTGTCCATGTTTCAGCCCCATACAGAGCTATGCTCCAAATGTAGCATTTCACTAGTTTCTTCCTCAAATTTAAGTCCAATTTGCTGGTAAAAAGATTCTTCTTCTTGCTAAATGCAGCTTTTGCCATGGCAATCCTGGATTTAATTTCACAAGTACACCTTCCATCATCTGTTAACAAGCTACCCAAATATTTAAAACATTTCACATTCTAAAAACAGTTTATAGGTCCAGAAATGCATAGACTTTCTAAAACCGCTGAATGATAAACTGAATTTCGTAACTACCGCAGATAGTTTCCATCATTCACTACATTAAGGTGTTCGTGGTATCAGTTCAGCACAATCTTGGAATGTTTCCAAGTCTTAATAGGAGAAGTGTACTGTAATTGTGTGTTAAGCGTGTGGTGATTGCAGTTTGTTGAGACGATGTACTTACATCAAGAACTAGCCAGTATGCGTTATGTGTATGGTTTGGCAGACAGTAATGCTGTGGTGACTCATTGTTTGTGCCAAGAAAGGCATCCAGGGCGAAGATGTCCAGATAAGAAAACATTTGTAAGTATCCATCACCGCCTTTGTGAACATGGGAATTTTGCACCTCGTGTTACCAACGGGGGGACCAAGCTCTATGACTCCTGAAGTATTGGAGGATATTCTTGATGTTGTGAATGAAACTCCTGAAATCAGCACCCGAAGGGTATCAGTGCAAGTGGATGTCACTCATTCAACTGTCTGGAGAGTGTTACTAGAACAACAGCTGTATCCCTACCATCTGCAGCATGTACAGGCCTTGTCACTACGAGACTACAATGTATGAGTAACATTGTGCCAGTGGTTCTTACAACAGTGTCATACAAATTCTGACTTCCCTGCCTTTGTGATATTTACGGATGAAGCACAGTTCACAAGAGATGGAATCCAGAATATTCAGTCGCCATCTGCGGGCAGATGAAAATCCACATGCAATTATTCCGTCACATCGCCAGCAGCTGTTCTCCATAAAAATCTGGGCCAATATTTGTGGTGATAATATATTTGGACCCCACATGCTTCCAAACAGGTTTACAGAGCAGAATTACATGCCACTCATCATCTATTGAGAACTGCACTTCATGCATGATGGCACTCTCGCAAATTCAGTTTTGTTGCCCGAAGTACTGGAATCAAAAGTTTCCTGGTCGGTGGATAGGTAGAGGTGGACCGTTTGCCTGGCCTTCATGTTGCCTAAAGTATCGGAATCAAAAGTTTCCTGGTCGGTGGATAGGTAGAGGTTGACCAGTTGTCTGGCCTTCATGCTCACCTAATTTAAGTCCACTGGATTTCTACTTGTGGGGCCATTTAAAGTCATTAGTGTATTCATCTCCAGTAGATGATGTGGAAGCTCTCCGAAATGAAATTGTGGCAGGTTTTCAGACAGTAAGCAAATGCAAGGAATTTTCGATTGTCTTTGGGGGGCAATGAGACATCAAAGTGAGGCCTGTGTTTAGGCAGGAAGTGGACCATAAAAACTTGGGAACTATGCATTGCTGGACCTATGCTGATATAAACTATTTTATTGCTGATGTATGAGGAAATCATTCCTGAAGTTATGCTACATATTTTTGAAACACTCCGTATGTAATCTTGTTATTACATTGCTTATCATCTGTGATTGTTAAAAACCAAATGATGTAACATCAGTAGGCTGAGAGTATTAAAGCTTGGTTTTGGAAGTACCAGTTTGGTAAGATGTATTCCACAATCTCAGAATTCTTCAGCTGCATAAATAATTATCCTCTTCTTTAGTATATTTCCATATTGTAAATAATATCTGACTTCAAGTAATGATGTATTCAGTTCTTTTATTGTAATCTGCATTCGGTAGTAGTTTGAAAATGGGTTAAAGCATATTGTTAGCGCCTAACACTGAATTCTGTTTGGTTAGCTAACTTGAATGAACATTAATACTGCATATTTATGAGTTCTCACATAAGAATAAAAGTACAGTAATTAATGTAAAGGTAAAGGAAATAATGTGTAAGACTGTAAAACATTTCTGTTACCTCAGTAACAGAATTTCATTGCCTCATTATAGGTATAGAAAGTAAATTAATCAGATTCGTATGAAAAATTGAATTCACCAATGAAGCCATTCAATTTGTTAAATTTATAAAATAAAAATATTGTTAAAGTCATGCCACCATTGCTGTGTTGGTGACATACAGTATTTTTTATTTAAAAATTTGTAAATTATAGCTCAGTGCAATCTTGAAAATTTTATAACCTTTACTTCAGTAGAAATTGAAAATTATAGTGAGAATTAATCTACCAGTAGAAGATAAAGGAAAGAATATGATGCAACCCCCGTTTAATGTTCCTCAATTTGTGGTCTACCCTCATTTAATTAACTTTCAGTTATCTGAAATCAATGTCAATGTTACATTTCTTACATCTAAGATTTTCTTGAGTTTATTGTTCATATCCACTGCTCCCCAAAACCGTATAACTGTTGGAAATGTAATTGTAAAGTCTCTGTATTGAAGAGAAAATTGTGGCCTTTTTAGAAAAACAGGCTGCCAGAAGTTGGGCCGTAATTGATGATACAAAATGTGTACATAGGTGATATTTTTTTACTGGCTAAACTTCAGACAGTATGTAGAACTGTAAATATAGCAACTGGCAAGAGAAAAGAGAGATTTAAAATTTGGAAAAATAAATTTGCTTTTCCTCCCTGTTGTGTAATAATGGAAATTTGTCTTTATGAAACAAGAATTTAATCAAAACTCGGCAGATGAAATGAAGTTCCTATGTTGAGAATGAAGCATTTTATTAAATTAGAGTGAAAATCAAATGTGGAAAGTAACCATCCCACTGACCATATGTCCTCTTGAGAATCTAATAGTTTCTCAACTACTCAAGAAATTTCCCCCTTTTATGGAACCAGAATGTTTAGTAATGTGTTCATAGGATCCTGCCATCCTATTTCTTTAAGATCCATTTTAATATTATCCTTCTGGCTGTGCATACATCTTGCAAGATGTTTTCCAACCAATCAGTCATAAGACCTTAAAAGTTTTCTCCTGCAAGGAAAGCTGCTAGACTGTAGAGATAAATGGTTGAATAGCCTCACATATTTGGTGTACCAGAAACATTTTTATGAACCATACTGGCAGTAGATGTGAGTAAACACATGAAATGGTGATCAGCAAGTTATTTCCCATTTAAACGATTATGTTACTGATTATAATGAATGTTCTGTAAAGGAGACTGTTTGCTTTCTCGTAGGAATTATAGTTCAATACGTGACAATGAGCAGCGCAGGCGATATAAGGCCGACTTCACTGCGGACTATAGTGAGTACAGAGACCTTCATGCTGAGGTGGAGAAAGTATCAAAGCGGTTTGCTCAGCTTGAAGAGAGGTTACGACAGGAAGAACGTGATAGCCCTACCTGGAAGGTAATTCAGTCCAGTAAAGATAATTCGCGATGAGTATTTACTGTGGAGGGGGTTTCGTTATTCGTTTATTGCTGGTGCAAGAGAAAATAGATGGCGCTTTACTCAGTCCTACTCAGTGTAAGGCCCGAGTATTTGTGAAGGAAATGAATCTTTTCACTATAAACAAGAGATTTTTGCAGTTCCTTTTATACAACATTGTTGTCCATAAGGACTTGTATTTTATTGCATGTCATCTGAAAGGGTTTGTTCTTTCAGCAGCACATGTTAGCGACGTCCTGATTTAGTGTTCCTGCCTTTAATGAAGTGCATATGTAATGAATATTTTCCTGGTCCCAGCCAATACCCCATATTAACAATTTATTATTTTCCCATATTTGGTGAATTTCGATTTTATAAATATCAACGTTTAGTATGGGAAATTTTTTTACCTCGAAAACTTAACACCTCAGTTTAGTGTGACTGCGGTCAGAACAACAATGAATATTTATATTTCTGCCAGAAGTTGGTACCATACATCCATAATCTTTGGTGAATGGCATCACCTATTGGAAACACATGCTGAAGTCACACAATTTGGAACATCGTAGGTGCTTTGGTTCTCAACTGAGGTTCCTACAGTGTTTATTTCATGTATCATTAATTATTTTAGAAATGAGTTTGATATTATTGTATAGTTGTATTTATTTCTGTAAAAACAGTTTCTTCCTTTCAGCATTTATTTCATGGTAACTACTTATGTTAATAAATGATTTTGTTATAATTATATGAAGTTAAGTTTCATAAGAAATTAATCTGTTTCTTGATGCGATTTTGCTTAATTATTCTTAAAGTACATTGTAATTCTTCACCATTGTTAGTGTAGCACATATACTTGAATCATCCTGCAAGCAGACATCTTCCAAAATGTCTTTTCTGTAACATGATTAAAGGGGCAGATTATCAGGCAGGAGTGAAGGAGTGAAGGTATGACAGGAAATCTGTATTCACCCGACAGAAGCTAGTAAACAAACTAGGGGTTGGACTTAGGCACTGTCATAAGCAAATCTTTTGAACATGAGCTTTATGTCAACATTGTGATCTGAAACTAGCCATAGTCACGTTTTGCTGTCTTCATCTTGTCTATCAGAAGTAGCTGAAGACATGCAGATACATCTCTTGTTACATTGTAGTTAAGGTATAAACATCTTATCCAAGAGCTGTATGACTAATGTGTAACACGTTAAATATCAGAGAGAAACTGTTCTCCTGGATGGAAAAGACAAAAATTTGTTTCTGCATCAAGGCAGAGGCTTCTGTAAACTGTTATAAGGGAGGTTTTCACGGCTAATGCCAGAAATTTATTTGTTTTACTTAGTTTTGTATGTATTTAATAGTGTGATCAATAGCTTGGACTGTGTAGTGTCAAATGGTAGGATGGTTATGGAATAATGGATTGGAGAGGATGCAGAAGAAGGTGGTCATGGCCTAATCTGAATTACTGTCCTGGAATTTTCCAAAGGACTGAAGACGTTTAATCTGGATAGCTGTTCCCTGAGCTAACATTTGAACCTGGAACCTCCCAAATAGGAAGCAGAGATCCCTACCCACTCAATCACAATTTTCAGCTGATTGGTAATATGTAAGATGAAAGAATGTAACATATGCAGTCATTCTATATATTTTTAATTCACTTCTAAACCTTGTATTTTATTATAATCATAATCTTTTGCAGATTTTTAGCTTACTTTCTTACCTGGAAGACAATAAAATATAAGCACATGAGATTACCATTGTGTATGTGTGTGTGTGTGCGCGCGCGCGCGTGCGTGCATGTGCATACATGCACATATATCTCGCCCCCTCTCCTTCTCAATATGTTCGCCAGTTGGCTGATTTTCATGAATTTTATGCCACTGGAAGCCATTCCAACACCGTACTTTTTTAATTTTCTGCAATCTGTAGTAACACCACAACAATCACCTGTCCATGTGCTTGACTAATTGAGGACTATGCTATGAAGGCATATGAGGGAGTATGTGGTAGCATAGGTGAATGAGGCACTCTGATACAAGCCAAAAGGTTGCGGGTTTGATTCCCGATGAGGTCATTGGATTTTACACTTGACCTAATCCTTCCAGCCACACTATGGCCCTGGGGTCAACACAGCCTCAGACCGAAATGAGTACCAGAAATCTTCCTGAGGGATGAAGTGCAGCCATTGCATAAGGCTGACAACCTCAGCACCATCTGCGAGCTGATTATCTGGAAAATGTGCGAGCCTCAACATCTCACAACCTTATGGGCCTCCACGACCTATTACCACCTTTAGTTGTAAAATAAGAGCAGTGCTAGTGCAACTTGCTTTAGAGTCTTGAAATTATATATGATAATAGATCTTGAAAAAGAAAAAAGGCAACTTTTGTTGAGGTAACATTTTTGTAGAATGTGAAACATGGTGGTCATTCAAAAATGCCTTTAGCTTTTGGTTTGATAGCAGTAAATAATTGACTATTGGAGGTAACTGTGTGAAATTTGGTACAGAGATAGATCATAAGCATACATATGTATTATGTATGAAATATTCTGTATGGATCAATAGTTACAAACACGACAATGATGCAAAACTTTGAGGTTATGTTGGATTTGCCACTTAGTTCACGCTGGTTTCTTCCTTGTCTTATTCTTTAACCCCAAGGCAATATATTCCTCTCAAATGTTGGCAGACTTGTACCAAACTATCATACACTTCTTTGAAGTTATATCCATCAAATTTGACTTACATACTTTATACATAAGTAATAAGTTCTGCACAGAACTAGATTAAAGTGACAGTAACAACATTGGTGGTGGGGTAATAATAATAATGATGATACGTTTATGATAGTATTAGGGTAATACATCAGAGGTCAAGAATGATGGAACTATACCTCCACTTCCCATACATCTTCATGGCATGGTGTGTAATTAATTAAGTGCAGGGACAGCTGTACCTTACCTTTACGTTATGGTTCTTGAAAAGCAGAATGACGTTTAGTCCATTACATTTCGTCAATCACATGGTCAGAATTGCAATGTTGATCTTTCTAGTTATGTAATAAAGTATTGCCCATGATGTCTGCATTAGCTTTGTGGATGTACAGTGTCATGTGCTTGTATGAGATGAAGATGCGCGTTTGTGTGCTCATGCACTCACGCACGCACACATAGACTATACTTGTATATGGCTTAAGGTTAAACATGAAGCTGAGAACATAATGTCATTTTTTTTTTATTTTGTAGGCCATCAAGAACCAAATAGTTAAAGAATACCAGGAAAACAAGCGCGATCTCAAGTTCCAAGAGGCAAAGCGTAGGTTTCAGTACTTGCATGAGAAGTTGTCATATATAAAGCGCTTGGTGCTGGAATACGACTCTGCAGTCGCCTCGGGTGGTGATCATTACTGACCCTGGCCTCCCCTGGCTCCGACCCCGGTGCCACCACCACTCTCCTTGCTGCCTGCTGCCACCCCTCTCTGCCAACGACAACTACTTCATGTGAGAAGACGAAGAAGGAATCTCGGGGGTTAAGTTTTATTATGCAGTTGATTACCACCCTCACTCAATCTCACCACCAACTCAAACACCACTACCACTGCCATCCCTGCCACAACCATTACATACTTGTATTAGCAGTTTTTCCAAATAAGAGGTGATGTTTTTCTTTCCTTCTTTCTTGTATGTGAGGCTTATTGCCATTACTTGTTTTATGTTCTGCTTGAAACACATTTAGTTTTTTATGCAGTGCTTAAACTGAAAGGAAAGGGAATAGTGTAGTGCAGTGCACTTTGGAAGTGAAGTTAGTTGCTGACCTTTTCATAAAATCGAAATATATTTTTCATTTGAGAGAGAGCAGAGTATACATTTACATATGACCCCTCTTGATTATTGCCATCTAGGGTCCTGATATTGATACAGCACTTACACATAAACATTCATCCTCTTCTCATTGTGCTTCTTAGCGCTCTTTCTTATTTCAGCTGTTACACTGTCATAACGAGTTTTAACAAATTAAACCTGCAGTTGGATTGGTATAGTTTGTAGAGAGACAGCTGTATAACTTCAAATTAATTCTGACATACACCTCAGGAACTGGGAAAGTGGAAGTAGGAAGTGTAGATACATCTATTTCCTTGAAAATGTAATGCTAATTCCAACCATCAAGGGACTGGTTTCAAATTTGAATTAAAAAATTTTCAATCCTAAATTTCAAAATATAACTTTGTGGACTTTCTTTTATTTTCACTGTTATGATTAAGTTTTATATCTTACCTTCCATTGTTTCCTTTCATTTCAGTTTAGGGCGTGTATACTCAGTTGTGGCTGAACTCCACAGAGTTGACTGTGTCATTTCTCCCAGTATATTTGTTTTTAGCTGTTCTCTTGACATTCTCTACTGTCTTACAGTATGTTTTCATTACAGTGATATCACCCCCCCCCAGTAGTTCTTTATTGAATATTGCTATGACATAAGTCCCTGTTCCTAATATACCAGTGCAGACAACCCTGGAGTCAATCAGGGGGAGGTATGGGTATTTTGCAGCATGGCCTGCAAACCAGTAAAAATTTTTAAATGACACACAGATTAAAATGTCAATGCCAGCCTTGCTCTCTTCGTATTATGTTTTTCTCTGTCTTCACATACTGCAGCAGGCAGTGTGTTATCACCAAAATTAATTGGGGATGTTTTGCTAGTGGCTTAGTTTGGGCGAGAGGGCTGATTCAGCAGGACACAGCCATTTGTTAAATAAACCATAGTCACATTGTTGTCATGACAGGAAGATAATGAAAATTTAGTTACCATATCACTCCAACTTTATAAGCGTTTCCTCTCGAAGTTTGTGCTTCCATTTTTGTCTCTTAATATGGAAAAGAATGCTTCCAGTGAAATTACATAGCATCAGGTACACTGTGTGTATATAAACATTCGGGGGGAACTCGTTCCCATGCCCTTTTCTTCAGTAATACCGTGTTAGAATAAGTAGAGTATAGTAGAACAGGCCATTATGTGGGAATCCATGCACAATTATTATAATTTAAAAGTTTCCTTTCTGCTAAATGAGAAACAAATTTTGAGGACACGAATATTTGCTTTAGTATCTGTGGATTTGCTTTATTTTCATGGAATTAGGAGAATACAGGAATACAGGGACTAGATTGTAGTGATTGAATGTGTGAGATTCCATGAGAATATTTACGAAGTAGTTGGCTTAGAAGTTTAATTCCACTTCTGAACACACAACATTAAATGAAATATATGTAATCCAATTCATTGTGCCTGAAGATTATAACCCTTATATGCCAAGACTGATATAGCACAAGATAAACCAGTTGCATGAAGTGTCGGTGTTGGTGGGATTTATCAACCTTCTCCACTATATCTGATATTTTCTAATATTAAATTTAACTATCCACTGGTCTTAAGAAATTGTGCCACTGATAGCAAGAAATAAGTTTCATTCCTAAAGATTACATAGCAGTCTTACTAAAAATTATATGCTATTTTTGCATCTGTATAAGATCTTTGGAGACTGGCACTTAAAGGACTGAAGAAAATGTCTTAATGTTTGTAAATTTACAACAAAGAAATTCAGTATGTAAACCCACAACACATAGTTGCATTTTTACATGGTCATTGTTTATGCAGTTTTGCTGAATTCCTGAAAGATGTCATTATGCAGATTGCCTGGTGTGAAATGTAAGTGTTATTCAACAGCATTGATTAATTTCTCTCTCTATATATATGTTGTCATTTAACTCACATTGATCTGCTTAATCTTCAGAAACCTGACACTTTTAAAATTACATATAAAGATGCACTGCTGGTTAATGTATTTTCAAAACAAGCTGATCTGTGGTATGGAAAAGACAAAGTGCAATTTTCACTACAGAGGTAGAGATGTAGTCCAGTTTGATTTTTTAGAGTTTGTACACACCCAGAATAACTTTGCTTATTTTGGAAAGGTTTTATTTAAGTATATAGTGAATGGTAGGCAAAGTGCTGCAGCAACAGTGTTAGTTAGATTTGTCACTTTGTCACTCAATTATCTCTGGCTGTGTTGTGGACAAATGTGCGAGTGAATCAGTGAGCAAGTGAGCAAGTGTGAGCAATTGGAAGGAGTGCCGTGAGATCACCTAGAACTACCATACTATACATGTTATATTTTTGACTGTGATGTTTTTTGATGGATGCTCATTCCTGTGGCTAAATGCCACATACCTACAGTAAATTTTCTTCAACTGGCGCCAGCACAAGAAAGAAAATAATATATCCTGCCATCGTTGCCAAAATTAGGAAAGAAAAATAAAGCAAACTTTAAATGATGTATGCAATTATTGCTATTCAGAGTTATTTGCTTGGTTGTGGAAGAGATTATATCCAGAGAAGTTATGTTCTCTCATCTTGTCCATCTCCTGTTGATGAAGCCTATTTTCTTCCTACTTACAACAGAGAAGGGATTAAGGAGATTTTTTTTTTTTTTGCATTATGGCAACTGTGCTTATGTTACTGTATACATAGATAAGACGGAAACAGATGTTTCCAATGGCCTCAGTTTACATCTGTGCCCTGGCCTGAATACTTGGTGACGACCGGATCGATCCCTGACTTAGGCTTTTAAATAACTGTATAGTGTTTTATAAGAATACCACATATAATAATTAATATTAATTTTGTGTTTTTCATTATTGTGTTCTGCTTTATGAAATTTTGCAAGAGAAAGTCCAAAAAAATACAACTTTTTTTAGTCCAGGGGTTGTGTAATTACTACATACTTTACAACAACATCGGGATGTCTACTTGAAGTTAGCACATCAGTGCAGAGTTGTGGAACTCTGTGATCATGATGTGATGACCTAAAAGAGTTACATTCTGTGTTGATGATGTAAATGGGCTGGGTGTGAAGTTACAATTAGTGATTTGTACACTGTGCATGTGCAGATTTAAGATGATGATGATGCTTCGTTGCTTCTTAATGGAAGTTTAAATATTAAAGATCATGTCAGTCCAAGCAGCTGCTGTATATGAATTTCATAAGATCTTTAGTTTTAGAATTTTTAATTAGTTATTTATTGTGAGCTTCTATAAGCTTAGGTCTTCTCCCTGCTTCTGAGATTCAAGATTCTCATGATGATGACTATGAAAAATGCCGTCTTCTGAGATGTGGCTCTGTGTAGGCTGATAGAAGTTTACCAGTGTTTTGGATGAATGTACTGCCTCCGTCTGCTACCCTGAAAATGGAAGCACTACTTTGTTCCAAAACATTTGTAAACTTTCAGACTGTCACATCACATCCCAGAAGATGGTGTATTTCCTTACTTATTTGATAGCAGGAGGCACATTATTCTTGTTAATTGGTTAATTGTGAAGAATGTTAGTAATTTTATTAGATAACCAGAGACAGATTTAAGAATGCATAAGATATATAAAAAATAGAAGTTTGGCTTCTGGTGTTTGTACTTAACAGATGCAGGTCATATGCGAAAGAAAGCAAGTAGTGTGGAATTCATGGGCAGAATTTTATCTGATTCTAGTGATAACATTGCATGAGATTGCTAACATTTTATACTTTCATGATATTAATATATTTATGGGTTTTGGGGGGAGATTGTAATGCATATTTTGTCAAACTGTATTTATACTGAGAATGGGTTTTACACGTATAGACTTTGGAAAGTGTTGCATCTGTTGGCTGAATGAGTTTTGTCAGCTCTTGTCAGTGGATTTGTGTTAAGACTGTATTCATTAACATCTTGAATATTGGATCAAATACTCTCATGGGTCTTCTTTTTTTACTGGTGGTCAGTAAAATGGCTTATTTATGATTTTCTGGGCTATTTTAAAAGCAGGGAGTAGCTTTATAGCTTGCATTTGTTAAGCTCTAAGTTAATAACACAGTTTGTTTCAGATGCAGTGTACTGAAGCACATTTTTTAGTGTGTAGTTCAATTCAAATTTCATGTGAATCAAAAAACTGTATTCCATAAGACTTTATAACTAAAATATCATTTAAGAAATAAGGTTTCATTAGTGACATGTTTACACACAGTATTTTTAAGGTGGTGATGAGCAGAATATTATTAGCCCAATAAATAGAGTAAATTCATCTACATCATTCATCTGCATTACCGTGTAATACCAGCAACAGAGTTTATGAATTAAAGGTGACATTCCATAGGATATGTCTTAAAAGCTCCTCTTTGTTCAAAGTGAACTCTTTTAGGTTAATGTTAAAATTAACACATGGGAAACACCATGTAGTTGGGTAACTTGTTGTAAAAAAATATGGAGTAGATAGTTTTAGTTGTGAAACATAAAGTTACTAGTGGCAGAAATTATGATCTAGGAAGTTTGGTAGATTTGTACTCACTTCTTGGAGGAACATGTTGAACATGTTGCCTCATTTTCAGATTAGGATTGTTCCTCTTTTGTGCTGAAGATGAAAGTAGTACATTCCTCCAATTCATTGGTGTCCATCTGCCAGGTCCCATGGCATCATATCCTACAAGACCATTATCTTCAAAGTATCGATTGTTTTTGTAAAGATCTAAATCAGAAACATTCTGGTAGCAGTAATTTAAGTGTAAATGTACATAAATGTGTTTAATATCTGGACTGCCTGTGGCACTTCATCAAATGTTACCTTTCATTCATTGGTTTAAGACAGTGTGATGCTATTTAACATGGACAGGTTATGGTTTGGTTAAATCCCTGTATTTTAAACTCAGAAGTGCTTTGGTTATGTTTTCATTCTTGAAATCTGCTGCTGGACTGAATATAGATCCTAGGATATATGAATCATTATTTTCATCTTAAAAATTATATTTATATTTCTAATTGTTCTTCCTCTTGCCAGTGCATGGTCCTCAGTCGGCTCCACCCTGCTGTAGTGCTATGTTGATGTTGCAGCTTGAAGCTGCAGTCCCAATAGAACTTAGCAGGGAGCTAAATCTGAATGTAAGATATGTAAATAGTATGTAATATACTACCCCCTAGTCTACATGCATAAGCACAGTGTACATTGCTTGTTGTTCCCAAGTGGCAAAATGATTTGTTACATTGAGCTGGTTAATTAATTTATTTGAATTGTAAAGGTTATGATGATGTATGTTAATAGGTAACAAATTATATCAAATTCTTTGAGTTGATAATTCATAATTCTTAAACAGGAGGATTGAAACTGCATGTAAACTGGATGAAAGTTTTCATCGATTTCCTTCCATGCATGAAAACTAATTCAAGTCAGCAGATTTTCCTTCAGTATTTTCTTGCATTTAAATATGTAATTAAGGTGTACACTTCAAAATTTGTAGTTCGGAATATGATTCTGCATATCGGTTTTACCCTTGGGGTAATTGTTTACAATATTATATTTAAGCATCCTGTTGCACTCTACACGATAAATGATACAAACTCTGTCCCAAGTGCAAACAATATATATTATATGTCTTTGATCTTGCTCTCTCCTACAGTACATGTTTCGGCCTCTAACGGCCATCATCAGGTGTATACTCTTACGTTGCTGCCACACTGAACCCAGTCTAAAATTTAACATTTAAAAAACACATTGTTATTTTCTTCGTTATTAAACATCTACCTCGTTGATATCTGTCTGGTATGTAGATTATTTTGCACACGTCAATTTTGATTTTCCTGTAGTAGCACTATAAAATCTTTAGTTATAATTTTAAATCCTTTAAAATTTTTCTCTAAATTTTAAATTTAAAATTGTTAGGGTTACTCGCCCTATGTCTAAAGTGCTGCAGCANGATTTTAAAATTATAACTAAAGATTTTATAGTGCTACTACAGGAAAATCAAAATTGACGTGTGCAAAATAATCTACGTACCAGACAGATATCAACGAGGTAGATGTTGATAATAACGAAGAAAATAACAATGTGTTTTTTAAATGTTAAATTTTAGACTGGCTTCAGTGTGGCAGCAACGTAAGAGTATACACCTGATGATGGCCGTTAGAGACCGAAACATGTAGCGTAGAAGAGAGCAAGATCAAAGACATATAATATATATTGTTTGCACTTAGGACGGAGTTTGTATCATTCATCTTAGGGTAATTTTAATCAGAAAACATGCTAACCAGTTTCTGTTACATGGCATAGTCTTTGGACATGAAGGAACTTTGATGATAAAAAATGTATTTTATACTACTTGGAACAAAAGTTGTCCACATCACTTTACATAATGAATGCGTGTATGGTGACATGGTTAAACCCTTTCATTGTTGTCAGAAATTAAATTTTCAAAGAATTATTAGGTACAAGGAAAGACATGATTTAAAACTGATAGATATGTGAAATTCTTTGTATACCACCAAAACATATTCTGTTTCATGGACATTGTAATGTAAAGGGTTAACCAATACTTGTGATTTTGAGTTCATTTAAATTTAACGCAAATATATGTACACATTTCAACAAATGAAAGTCACTTGGCACTTGTATCAATTATTGAAAGTGTTCATGAAATATCAGATTGTGTTGAATGTCTTATACATGTTTCATTTCAATGTCAGATGGTTTTCCTTCAAACATACTTCTGATACAGTGACTAACAGAGTAGATTCTGCACATGTAAGTAGTAAATGCAATTAAGCCACCATTTAAAACAATGATTTAAGAAAAATGCAGTTTTTCTGTTAAACATACTGTGAGATATTTATTAGGACATCCAACTTATTAATTGGTATACCTGATTACAAAAAATGCCACTTTCAACATGAAAATAATTTTATTCAGTTGTGTCAATGCCTTTGTTCTTCTTTGAAGTGTGAGTCAGCAGTGTTAAACAGTGTTAACTACTGAAGCATTTTGTATCTTCCAGATGTAGCTAATTTAAAGAATATATGAGCAATTCCTAGTACACAGCCTGCTGCTAAAGTCATGTTCTTCAAGGTGCCAGCTTAAAGAAGTGCATATTTAGGTACATGTTAAGTAGACATAATTAACAGTTTAACATAAAAATGTATTTTTACCAGGGAATTATTTTTACAGTAGTCAATATAAGAAATATTACATTGTAATGGAATAGCATGTGCTTTAGCACATATCTTACTATGAATTCCACTCCATTACCAACATGCATGATGCCCATACATAACTGAATTTGTCTTCCCATGAAAGATATGAATATGTCCTGTGTTGTGTTGTGATACGATGCTTCACAAAAAGTATGGGTATAAACGTTTCTGTTTTGAATTGTTTCATTTTTGGTCCGTTACACTATCAATCACAAAGTCAATAGAAAGTCCGTCGAGTGTAACAATGTTTTTTAGGTCACTTCCTTATCACTTTTATCACTCAGTAATTTTACAGATAGGGCCATCTGTAATGTAAATTTTCTTGTGGTCAGAGATGTTGAAAAGTGTTTTAGGCCAAGAGGCTATGCTCTGTTGCAGAACACCAAATGGTATGTAGATGGGCAAAGATATAAGTGATGATATCCTGTCTTTTCTACTTCATATCTCTGATTATAGGCCCCTAATGCAGGTAACTTTACTTACATGAACTACCTTATTATTCGGTTTCAGATACTAAAAGAAAATAAGAATACCTTCCAATTTAGTTGTACTCATTTAAAAGCCCCCCCCCCTTTTTTAATTTTTAAAATTCTTAAGTGCTCATATCTAGTAACCTTTTCCCTCAAAATGTAAGAGAATTCTTGTTACACTGTTATAAAAGTATGAACAGATGTTACTGTTGTCAAAATGTTTTTGTCTGTAATAGTGTTAATTGCAATAATGAGTTAATGACTTGGCTGTGATAACTGTATATTCAGGTTGCTTTCATGTACTGAAACTGTGTGTTGTTACTGATATCCTGTAATTTACTGAAATGTTTACAGTAGACTAATGCGTGATTTGATAGTAACTTATTTAGAATGGGAAGTAAATTCAGTTTGTAGTTCATCATGCCAGCTTGAAAGATGCACCAAACATACACGCTTTATTTGGGGGAGGGAGGGAAGATGTGATTTGTTATGTGGGCTGCTATATTAAGACACTGAGCTGAGAACAGGAAAATACCTGTGTGTCTGTGTGTGTATATATATATATGCCACTTGGGAATCTCATTTTTTTTAAGAGAAGGATTGATTTAATGCAAGTTTTGTTTAAAAGAAGGAATTGTGTCCCAAGGGACTCCTGTAAACAAGAAAAGTATACAAAAAAATAAACTCTTATTACTTATATGCATGCAGCAATCATAAATTGTTTTTCTTTTGTTTCTGTTATATTTTTTATTGACCTAAGAGAAATATTATTTTAGATATTCCAGAGTTAAAGCTGAATATGAGTTACCCATTTTTCAGGACCTTCTATTTCCTGTTCTCCAATAAAAGGAACTAAGATGTTTCCCATAGCTTCCTCCAGAAGCTGCTGGCCCGGAACAGTTAAATTGAAGCAGTAGGCAACTGTTCCTGTTTCATAAAATAACTCACAAAAAGATGTACCCCCATGGAGCAAAATCGTCCTCAAGAGAGGTATTAGTCACTCAGAGATACTGGGTTTTCGGACTTTGTCCATCGGCCAGATTCTAAATAACTAAGAAAAAACACTCATCTGGTCAAGCAGTTCTCCAACTTCCAAGGAATCTGAAGGCACACCACAGGGCCCTATCCTAAGCCACATGGATCCAAATCCATACCATCATATCCTACTCCTCAAGAACAATTTTCCTTCTAATATGAACCTAGAACCAATGCCAGATTAGACACAAGCCAAATAAGCCATGGCAGAGTGCCTCTATTAAGAGGGGTCTGTAAATATGTCAGAGGTAAGTATGAAGATTTATTGTAATTGAAGTAAGCTTCATTTAAATAATATTTCATATAAAATCCACCACCAGAATGCTAAACCCTGTCATCCCCATCCTGTTCCACACTAAATTCCATCAACTTTCTTTAAAAACTGACTTGTAGTTTCTTGCTTGACTTACTCTTTAATCTTGAAGGTAGAGGTTATATGCCCCCCCCCCCAAACATGAGGTTGTCTCTGAACTACAAGGTATTATTAAAGGCAAAGTTCAAGATTTAGAGGAACAGGGTCAAGAAGATAAAGCGGACAAAATAAATATGGAAATTACGAAGTCGCAACAGGAAGACAAAGGAGGGGGAAAGAAAGAAGATAGGGAAAATGAAAACCTGAGTGAGGGTGAACAGACAATGAGGACTTGTGAAGGTGTTGTAGGTGGGGAGGGCTCTAGGAAACAACAAATGTCAGCAGTAAGATGTAAAGAAGCAGTGAGTGTTAACTCAA